ATGTTTTGGGAGTTGAACTCATGTTTAGTAGTTAGTTAAAGATTGTCCTATGAGTTGGATGAATATGTAGCATGTTTCAAAGCAGACTTTTATGCACGTCCCATGATTCTTGTGTTTTGGGTTTTGGAAGTTTTGAGAGAATATTTTTCTCATCTCTCTGCCATGAACTTAACATAGATTGTGTGGGTGTCTTCCTTGTGTTGTGAAATTTGTCCCGTGATTTTGTTCTCACTTCTCAAGATAAATTGGCAAAGATTTGTTCCAGCTAAAACTTCCTTCCCTTGGGCCTTAATGTTCCCAATAGCCGTTGATGCTTTGATGACCTTTGCTGCCGTTTCTTCTTTTTCTTTCCTTTTTGGTTGAACTAAATTGTGTATTGTTGTTTGGATTTGTTAGACTTAGGCTGGGCTTGTTTGGATCTTAAGAAGTTGAGTTGCGTAGAGATTTTTGGTTGGGCTTAATTGTTTTGTTTTGCTTGCATTTGTTTAGTTTCATATTTAGTCTATTTAGGTTTACAGAAGCTGGTTTCTTTGAGTGTTTTTTAAGTGGGCCAAATGGTTTTAGATAAATAGCTGTTGGGTTTGTTTGCTTATGTATGTGAGTTAGTTCTTGAATTTAGCTTGGGCCTGCATGTGATGGTGCCATGGCCCATATATTTCACGCTATTGATGATAGAGTTGGGGTTAAGAAAACATGAACCAAAACCTTGTTTTATCTTTTTTTTTTCTTTTTTTTTTCTTTTAATATGTAGTTTTGGACATTTTTGTGTACTTTAGGCTTTCTCTAATTTTCTGAAACTTTGTTGGTGATAAGTTCTTAACAATATTTGCACTTTGCCCCTAAATTTTGCATAATTATACTAAGACCCCGAATATTGTGAAAATAGATAAAATTTTCCTTTTTGAATTCTTGGCCTTCTTTATGATGTTCATGCATGTTGTGGTGAATCAATTCAACTTTTTCAAGTTAATTAAAGTTCAAGTGAATTTATTAACTTTGGAAAATAATGTAAATAGTTTTGTTCTGATGGCCCAAAAATCATTTTGGTAGTTAAATTAGTCTAAATTTTAGTGGATTATGTGTAAAAGGTAAGTTAAAAAACTTATTTTTGTAGAATTTGCATTTGCCCCTAGATTTTAAAATTGTATATTTTGCCTTAACACTTTTACTTTTTATCACTTTAGTCCCAAAGAATTTTTGATGCCTTTATCATTAAGATTGTCCTTGACTCTTTGATCCTTCGTTCATGTTTGGAATGTTAGTTTATTACTAGTTTTGTGACATTAGTTTTTTTAATGAATCAAAAAAAATTTTATCTGTAGCGAAAAATTGTCATTGCCTTGACGCTTTTGTTGATTTTGAATAATAGGTAATTCTTCCTTCCCTCATTTAGCCACTACTTCAAAAGGGATGTACCTTTATTATCTTTCAAATTCTAATTATGTGCTCCTATGTGTCAATCTGTTTTATGTTTTTTTTTCTTTTTTTACTTTAAGCTATTTATAAGATTATTTATTTAATTCAAGCCTTTTAATTATTTGGAGGATACTTGAATACCCAAGATGTAATAGATAGGTTATTGTAAGGTTCCAAAGCAACCTAAGAGGGGGTGAATCAGATTGATTAATAACCTAGTTGAGTTAGAGGCAATTTTACACAATTAAATTTTACCAAATTGCCTAAGTGATCAAGTCACTTATTTACACAACAACCAAGTATAATCAAGTAGAATAAAGCAATAAAGAACAAGTAGATAATTAAAATAAGAGAATGAGAGAAAGAATAAGATAGTGCAAACCAACAACTTCCAAATTTAACTACACTTGAAGTTTTATTCCACTAATGATGCATTTTAAATTTGGTGAAGCAAACCAATCTTGTATAATGAAGAGATCACTCTTTGTTCACCCCTACGCACTTGTCAAGTGACCCAAAGAATTCTACAACTAACTCTAGTTAACCCTTACAAAGTTACAAATTGAATGACTCACTCAAGTTTGAAAAGCTTTTACAATGATTTCGCCTCACAAACAATATCCAAGTGTAAAAGGAGAGTATTTTGCTAGTTAAAATCACTCTTGAGAGTTTGTAATTAATTTAGGCAAAAGTCCTTTGACGTTTGGTGCATTTGATTGCGTCTAATGCGTGCATCCGATAGATGTTGAAGATATTCTTCTCAACTTTTGTCGGACGGCCGAAAGATGCATTGTGTCCGAGTAGTTCTTCTTTTGACAGAAACGGAAGTTTTATTTTCTTTTCTTGAATTTTTTTGAATGGATGATATTAGCCTTCTACGTCCGATCTATTCATCCGATAAATTCCCTTGTATATCACATGTTCGAAGAATTGCGTCCGATGTGTTGTCATTGTTTGTCGGACGTCCAATCCATTGCCTTGCATCCGATCCCAGCGTCCAATAGATACCCGTTCTTTTTGTTTGATTTGATTCAGTTTCTTCCTTTCTTTGATTGTACTTGGCACCTGCTCTAAGTAATTGCTCAAATGAAATTGTTAGTCCAAATCATCATTTTACTTAGTTATCATCAAAATTAAGGATTAATTCCAACAATGATATCTTCTTTTTGCAAAAAATATAATTAGATAGTCAAGTATAATCGATAGATTAGATAGATTTGTTTTTTCACATTTCCCATTGTAGATTGTAGTTAGGGTCCTCAATATAATAGTTAGGTTTTGTACTCTATGTGCTTTTATGTCTTTACTTATGTGTTATGTGTAATGTACTCTATGTGCTCTTATGTATTTACTTATTTTGATTTATGATTTATTTGTTTTATTATAAATAATAAATATATGACTTAACTACAGTAATTCAACATTAGTTGTGACTTTTCCCTCTATTGCCTTACTAATCCAATGCCAGTGAAAACTTAACTTCTAGAAATGGGTTAGTCCAATATTAAACCCTTAGATCATCCATGTGTTAGATTCATCCTTTACATGTCATTCATCACATTTTCATGCCTTTTTCCTATTTTAAGTTATTTTTCTCATTTGTGTGATATTTTTTCTTATATTATTCCTTTGTCCCTATATGCGCAAATTATATCATTTAAACTTGAATTTCATTTAGGAAATTAGAAAATAAGTTAGTCCATTTGCTTGTTTAGGTTAGAAAAGTCACCCTTCAAATATTAAAAATGGACGAGAATGGCTTTTCTAGTCTTAACACTCTATTATCTCTTTATAAGAAGGAAAATCGTGTTACGAGTTTTAGTCTCCCGTATCCATTATATTGCATCTCTACTTGTTTGACCACTTATATAAGTTTTAATTTTCTTTCTTTTTCTTCAAGTCTCATCTTTGCATTCTTGTGATCTCTTCAAGGGATCATTATTGGCCTTTGCAATTAATGCGATTAGTATCGAATGAACTTTGAAGAGATATTTCATCGCCAAGCCTACCCCATTTAGGTTTAAGTTTACATATATATAAGAAATATCTAAATGTAATAATTTAATGGTTAGATTAGGAAAATTTTGACTAAATCTCGCAATTAACTTAAGTTAGGTTGAAAGGATGTTTTAGATTCGAATCGATCGAATATTTGCTTTTCTTTTTTACAATTGTGACTACCAAACCTTTTTTTTTATTTTCAAAGATCCGGAATCATCTAAAAGGTTTTTATCATTTTTTTTACTATAAATATTTTTGGGTTACTTGGTACATCTAAATTCAATGTCAAGTGGCGATTTTCTTTTTCTAAAAACCCTTTTTAGACTATCTTTTTGGGCCAAAATCATCACATTTTTCAAAGTCCCATTTTAGGCCTCTTTTTCTTTGTTTTTGAAATAAAAATCCATTTTTTAACACTTTCTTTTTTGTTTCAAAAATGGGGCATAACATAGGGGTGTTCTAAGCTGCGTTCTTGCAATATTCTTTTTCCTTGATGTTCCTTTTGTCCTTAGATTGGTAGAAATTCAGACTAAATTAAAGAGCCCTCTTAGTAGTTTTCCCATTGGATTACATAAATTTTCGATTTAGGGCTTGTTCTCAACTGATTTTGGAAATCTGATTTTAGTTTTTGATTTTTGAAAAGTGATTTTATTTTGTTCTCAACTGATTTTGAAAAACTAATTTCAGATTTTTTTTTGGGCCCAAAAAAGCTGAAAATTAGAAGTAGGTTTTGAGGTACTTTGGATTCTGATTCTGTCCTACTTTTTCATGTAAACAAAATTAGCATTCAAATTTCAACGTAATTACTAAATTACCTAAAGATTAGGTAACTTTTTATTATCTTTCTATTTTTTTCATTTTGTCATTTCACTTCCAAATTTATCTATGTGTTTTTGCTTTTCTCATCCATCATTAAATGTTCAAAAAAAGTAATTAATTAGATCAAAAATTATTTAATTAGTACAAATGATCATTTATGTAGCATATAAGGGTAATATGGCCTTTTTTTTTTTTTGTCAAAATCAGCTTTTTAACTTTTTTCGATAACATCTATGCATTTATTAAAATGTCATTTTTAACAGTGAATGAGACACACGAGTTATTTTTTAAAAATCTGATTTTTTAAAAATGAATTTTATAAAATCAGCTTTTACAAAATCAAAATCAATTCAGAACAAGTCATTGCCAACCACAAGCATGTGGTGAATTACACACAAATAATGTGTATTTTATGCACTCAAATAATTGATATAATAATGTTACCCAATAATAGATACATGACAAGATCAATTCAAAATTTGTTTCAAATATGGAATAAAAAATATAAAGACATGTTTGTAATAAAAAAAATAAAATTTTCTTGAAAACCATTCTTGAGCATAGGCAAACCAAACAATCAATTTTATAATGATACCCATCCAGTTGATAAAACGAACATATTGGGGAGGAATCACCAAAAGCCCATACTGACTATAGGGTCTATGATAACCATTGCGATTCCTGATTGTGAAACAAATAGCTCTCAATTTTTAAATAGGAGAGAGAAGGGAAAACAAATGTAAGGCGAAGCATTCTGCTATTTCTAGATCAACGAAATGAGCCCCTTCCCATTTCTCATTGCAAAACCAGAAAATCACATGAAACATATATAGATTAGAGAATGTAGTTTACCAACATTCAAACAGATACCGTAGCTAGACGATCACCATAATCTAAACCAAAAGCAAAAGAAAGAAATGAAGAAACAAGCACATTGTTAATCTGAACCCTTGAAGCTTGATGTCGCGAGATCCCGACTTTTCCACCCTAACATCATCCACCACTGGTCCACACAAAGAGCTCATGTCATCAGTTCTTGTGTTGTAATAGATGCTGTAAAATGCGACGCGAGTCCTCTCAGCTTTTGCTGTGAAGTTCAGATTCGCTGACTGGAATGTCGAATTCGAATCTGGAGTGTAATGAATATTCTGAGCTTGATCACCAGCAAAGGCCATTACAGCTAAAGGTTGCTTACATGAATCCCCAGCATGGCCTAACGAAAATGTTAATCTGTAACGTTGGTTTGGCTTCGTCTGCACCATCTGGGAGATTATGCCTTCCTTTCCAGAGAGCAATTCGATAGCTCGTTTGCCTTCTGGGACTGTGAAATGGTAAGAATCGATGTACCGCACTGCTCTGTTGGATTCCACTATCCAACCAGGTAATGAGGATGTTTCTTCATCCAGATTAGTTGGGAGCAAGACACCGAGTGAAGCATTCCTGAACATCCAAGGGCCTTCCTCAAAATCACCATTAAGTACTGCATTATCTACAGAGAGGTAAAGGATCACCATTTAGTAGTTCTTGCTTAAGTTTACTTAAGTCCATGAAAAAGAAAAGACCGACGTTATTTTCTTATTGGATTATTATTGTTTTCACGTTGTTATTCAACAATTTCCTAACCCAAATCAAGGAACTATTCGTACATTTCTAAGTAAGACATTCCAGTCACTAATAATTTTGTTATCATCCAGTTATTCTCGAATAGTTTCATTCATTGGTGTAAAATATCACATGCAATAAACAAATTAATTTAATAATTAAAAGAAAAAAGATCCCCAATTTTTCCATTAAAGAACAAAAGTAAAAATGGTAGTTGCCTATATGGAAAATTTTTCACCCCTCTACTCTTGACATTTCGAGGTAAGATGATTAGTATTTTGTAACAGAAATTATATGGACGATTTAGCAGATTCAACAAAATTTTACTGCCATCTCACAAACATGGAATTGAAATCTAAGTAGTGATAGAACTGAAATAATTTTATATGAACGATCAGAGTCAAATGATCAAAAGGCAATTGCATCAAATAGCCATGTTAGGTTTAACAGGACAGAAAACCACTTGGGCCAAAAAATTGATAAAATGCTACTTTTCTCCGTCACTTTCTATATGCTCAGTAATCAAAGATTTAACAGTAGCATGATTTAATTAAAGGCTTTGGGAAGATTAAATCTTAATGGTCAATCATTTTGTCCAAAGAATTGCTCAATCATTTTGTCACTAACTAGTAAACTACTCACTAGTACATTCAAACTCAAGTGGGACCCAGGAATTATTTCACTTAGCTCAAGATTCAATACACAATGATGAACCTTTTTCACACTTTCATCAAGAATTTAAACCAATCACATAATACTATTAAAATTTTCCTTTTTTCATTTTTTATTCCCAAGTAGAGATCCCGTCAATTATCTCGTGTCCTGTTTGGATTGTCACTTTTTAAAATTATTGTAGAAAACTATAATTTAATGATGTGATATATGTGAAGTAAAATGATGATTAAAAAATGAAAAAAATCATTTAAAATATCCCTCACATTTTGCCTAATAAATTTTTCCCTCACTTTTAAAATATTAATTTTACTTTCCTTATAAATTCAAGTCAGCAAAATTTGTTCCCAATCTAACTTTTCAATCACTTTTTTATCTTGATTTCATTATGTGGTTGTTTTTTAAGAGCAAAAAAGATTAGATATTATTTATAGTTAAACAAATGACTCGATTCACATTCATTTTTGACTCTATAAAAAGTAGAATCTGTATTCTTTTTTTTCCTAAAAAAAATTTGACCCAATCCATATTTAGTTTTGCACCTAAATAAGTGGGATATGACCTTTTTGTATTTAAAAACTGATCACATGTGAGTCACGTAGTGATTTTAAATTAAAAAGTGGTTGAAAACTTAAGTTTAGACTAAATTTTATGATTTGAATTTATATGGGATGTAAAATTAACATTTTAAAAGTGAAGAACAAAAAAATTCATTTAGTGAAATGTGAAGGACGTTTTGAATTATTTTTCCCAAAAATAGGTGTCCAGAAAATATTCTAAAATTTTTCCATGTAAACTATCAGTTCAAATTTCAAAAGGACCTTAATGTTTGGAAATTTTGGGCAATTCAAACAAATACACTGGACAGAACAGGGCCCAAGTCATAGCGGGCCAAATTTAACTCCTCATAGCTAAGGCAGAAACTAAGAAACATGCAGATTCCATATTAAATGACAAACCAACCTGCTCTTGTGAGGTTGCCATCCCACATCGATTCTTGGGGGGTTTGGGGTTGGGTTTATAAGTCCCTGGAAGGACCTCAAAAGTTGCCGGCTTTTGAGGTTTCTTCTGGAATTAGGTTTATATATCTAATTTTCGTCAAAAAAAAAAGTCATTTCTTAGGAATCGGCCAAGAGGCAAATTCCTGCAAGGGTAGTTATACTGGGTTCCGTGGGGGGTCGTCACTTCTTAGTAGCAGCGAGCCTACTGGCTTGCCCTTGTGGGGTTGCCATCCCACATCAGTTCTTGGAGGGATTTAGGGTTGGGTTTATAAGTCCCTGGGAGGACCTCAAAAGTTGCCCGCTTTTGAGGTTTCTTCTGGAATTAAGTTTATATATCTAACTTTCGTAAAAAAAAAAAAAAAAAAAAAAAAGAGAGACAAACCAACCTTTGGATTTATCTGGTACGAAAAGCTTCTTGATGGCAATATCATCAATGATGGGCCCACAAGTGGGGTCATCCTCCATGCCAGGATTTTTAAACACAACGCGTACGTCATCCACGTCTGCCTGAAAGGCCCACGCATAAGAATCCCAGCCATGAACACTGTACAAAGTCTGCAAATCAATTGTCTGTGACGCAGGCGGAACAGACACGTTCAGTGACTCTAGCTGAGCGCACGTGCGAGCAGCGCTAAACGTGACCGAATAGATGGAACCCTTTTCTACTTTGACTTCTTGACTAATTTCGGCGTCGTTTCCGAGCCTCACTGCATGTGTACCCTGAGGTACGATCAGGATCATCCCACCTTGTTTTTGACCCGATTCGACTAATTCTACGGTGCCGTTTGATTTCCAGCTAGGGATTGTGGCGGGCCCATCTGGGAATTGTGCGTCTGGGGAGAAGCCTCCTGGTGGAGGGGTCTCAAAATCACCGTTGATCAGTGAACCTGCAAAATTAAAAGGCTTGGGGATCAAAACTACATAAAAAACAAGTTAGTGACTGAAGTACAAATATTTCAACCGATTGGCAATTTCACACTTTCTGAGTTTTTCCTGAAAAAATTTTCGAAATATTTCTTTGACATGTTTCTCAATTACATTTTTAATTCACATATATGATAATGTTACAGTATTTTTTTTTCTTACAAAAACTTCTAAAACGTCCAATCATAGCGTGCATGCTGCAAAAATAGAAACATATTTGAGGCCTAGGCAAAAAAACATAAATATGCGCATTTTTGTTTCCTAATATTTTCAATAATGAGAAAAAAGGAACCATAATGAGAAAGATAATAACGAAAAAATAAGGAACTAAAGGATCACACGTAATGAGGAACTAAAGGATTACATCTACTTAAAGATATCAGCAGTTTGTACTTGTTATATGCATCAAAATGATATTATAGGAAAAATAATGTTTTAATTCTTGGACCGGGTAAAATTAGGAAAAGGTGCAGAAGATTATTATTACAGTTTGTCTAACCATCATTAGTATGTTCAATAAATAACCAGATGAGCTGAAATTACGGCAAATGATTTTGTAATTTGTATCCATATAAGGATGAATTTCTCCAATTGTTGAAAAAAAGGGCTGCTAAATCCTTAATTGCAGAATATTCTGCTAATTTTTCACCATCCAAACATTTAAGCAGCAAGACGGTGGAAAGCAAAGGCACGAAGGTCTAGCAACAAAATCTAGAGTTATAGTAATATTTTTAAAAAAAAAAAAAAACTCCTAAAAATACCTAATTTATACGAACCCTTTAAAATAAGTAAAATCAAGAAAAAAAAAAAAGTAAATATGTAATGATTTCGGATTAAGCATGCTGTTGTGGCCCCAGCGTTCTTTAAGACTAAATTATTGAAACCGGCAAGGAAAGAAATTAAAAGATATCATGAACTTTTTCGCTAATAAGAAGAAATGCTAAGGACCATGTGATAGTGCACATCGTTAAGGGTTGGTGTAAAATCAGGAATATTATGATTCACGTCATTTTTTTTGTTCTTGAAATAGACTATTACCAGGTTCAATTTTAAATACCATTTACATATGATACCAACCAAAAAGCTGACTATAAGATCAATGCATTATGCCATAGACATATCCTAACCCATTAAAAGAATAAACACATAAAAAATAACAAGAAAAAAATATTCCTAACCAGATAGCAAAAAATAAAATAAAGGTAAAATGTGTATTATAGTCGGAGAAATCACAAAAAATAAAAATATGATTATCTTGCGAACTCAAAATCTAGTAAAATAGCCACTCCACCGGTTAGTAATAGTAATGGTAATAATTTTTCAGATGAAATGACTGAAGTACACTCCCAATTTTATAAATTAAAATTTTCAAATTTACACATTTATTGAAAATAAGAATAACTAAGAACAAAAGGTTAATGAAGTACATTTTTCTTGGGGAGGGTTGGGTTGGTGGTAGGGTCAAGGCCTCCCACTTAAAAAGAAAAAAGAGTACATTTTTCTTTTGAAAGAGTAAATGAAATTGTACAAGGAAAAATTTGATTTTGACTAACGGGTAAAATAAGCAACTTGATAGCTAGAGGCGCTATTTTGCTTGATTTTGGATTTTTGAAGTGCTACAACATTAACTTATATTTTACATGAGGGTTAATCAGCATATTTGTGATTTTCATAGGGATGTAATCCGCATATTACCCCCTCCCGGCCCCCCCACCCCAAAAAAATAGAAAATTAAAAAAGGAACAGCTTCTCCAGATTTTTCTTTTTGGCTTTGAAAGAAGAGCCCTCCCCCAATGGACCCAATATTAGGGGTGAGCAAATTCGGTTCTTACCGAATTCATAACCGATTTCAAATTCAATTCGGTAATTTGAAATCGGGTATTTGGTAATTTGGTACAAATTCGGTACGTACCAAATTCACCGAATTCTAATATGGTATGAAATAGGTAATGAGATTATGAATTAGGTAATAACCGATTTCGCATTCAAATTCGGTAATTGAAATCGAGTACCGCATTCCCGCATTCGAATTACCAAATTGGTATATAAAATTATATAATATATAGATAAATGCTATTAGTATTAGTATATACTACTAATACTTTATTATATTATATAGGTAAATGCTATTAATAATAATTAGTATATGGTATTATCAATTTATCATCATATCATGTACTTATAATAATAATAATATATAATAATGTACAATATATTATTTTAGTATTTGTTAATTGTTATATGACTATAATAATACCAATATATAGTAATACATAACAATATAAGATAACTATAATACTTATTATTTTATACATGAGTAACATAACTAGAATTAGATAATAATTAATACATATATGTATAATACTAAATATTAAACAATAAACATAATTAGTAATTAAATTTAGATATTGGTAATTTGATACATCATTCATGTTTGAATTATTGAATATTTGAATGCGTAATCTCTAACTTGCAAGTATTAGTGTACTCTACATATTTAACATAAAAATTCATATTATCTATTCACTAATTTTAATTCTTAAGACTTTAAGTATAGATAAGACAACTAAGTAGTTAGCAGTGTAAGTGAATGCATATGAATTGCAAATCAATGTACTAGTGTATTGACTTTCACAATAATATATGTAAGTAAATAAGTTTTATTTTGATTTGAAATAAATTATAAGTTTGTAAATAATATAACTTATCACTACTCATTGTAATTTGTAAGTTTGTAACTAATATTACTTATTATTAATCATTGTAAATTATAAATTCATAAAATCATCACTAATCATTGTACAGTCTAAGGTTTATTCTAGTTTAAATTAATCACTTTTTATGTGTTCCTTAAATCATAGACTAATGATTTTAGGCATAAGTTATCAAATAAGTTAAAATTCATATTATCTATTTACTAATCTTAAGGCTTTAAGTATAGACAAGACAACTAAGCAGTGTAAGACTGTAAGTGAATGTATGTGAATTGCAAATCAATGTATTAGTGTATTGACTTTCACATTAACATGTGTAAGTAAATAAGTTTTTATTCTGATTTGAAATAAATTATAAGTTTGTAACTAATATAACTTATCACTAATCATTGTAATTTGTAAGTTTGTAACTAATATTACTTATTATTAATCAGTGTAAATTATAAATTCATTGTAACTACTAACTAATATTGCTTATAATTAATCATTGTAAATTATAAATTCATAAATTATCACCAATCATTGTATAGTCTAAGGTTTATTCTAGTTTAAATTAATCACTTTTTATGTGTTTCTTAAATCATAGACTAAGGATTCTAGGTATAAGTGATCAAATAAATGCCAATTAAACCACAAAATGATTAGAACATAAGTAATGTGTTCAATTATGAATAAATTTAGGGATCAAATCAGTAATAATTTATAAATCATAGATGAATTCGGTTAACCGAATTCATTACCGTTTTCGAATTTGAAATCGGTTGCGGAATGAATTCGGTTATGCCCAATTCGGAATTGAAAACGGTTTAAATTTTTACAGGTAGAATAACCGAATTCACCGAATTCAGTGCACCGAATTACCGAATTTGCACCGAATGCACACCCCTACCCAATATGGCTTGGGATTCCCTCTGTTACTTTCTCTTTAATTTTTTATCCATTTGTTTTATATTTATACACTTAAATAAATGTTTACAAAATGATCTGCTCGTGTCATTAATTTTATTTCGATAAGTAGATCAGCACACCTACAAATCAAGTTCATCTAAGAATATGCTGTGCTTCAATTTGCATAAAATATTTAAAGGAGTCAAATTTACGACAAAAGTTGTAAAGTTTAGTCCACCAGCTAAATGTAGTCAATTCAATTTTAATTTTTTGTAATAATTTAAAAGGAAACTGGGAAGTATGTAATAAGCAGTTCTCATTGTAAGAAATACTATTGCAGGTAAATTTATATAGCTGTAATGCAGTCAAACTCAAGGAGCCTAAGACACAACGATTATAAGTTATTTAAGTTGTAACACTACGAAAACTAGCTAGTTAAACCATAAAACTTATAGACGTTAACACTGTTAATGGGATAAAGAGAGAAGCAAAACATAAATCAAAGAACTAGTTACGCTGATACCTAATGTAACTCATGTAAGTATAATCTTAGTACGAAATTCTTCTAGGAAATTACTCCCTTCATCCCAAATTATGTGTTGCGTTTCAGGATTCTAACTTTCAATAATAGTGACTTGATAGTTTTTTTTGTTCAAATAATGGTGACTTAGATAGTTGTGTTGGTAGGTTTGTTTTCAAAGTTGCCCTCTAAACAGATAAAGATGGAGATGACATTGAAAAAAGATATAAAAAAAACTTTGACTTTAGTAAGATATCAAATATTTTTAGATATTTCAAAATAAAAAGTAAAGATACTTTCAATCAAACTGAGGGAGTACAGTTAGAGAATCTGATCCATTCATTTAAAAGGGTTAATTCCACTTTGTCCCCCCAAACTTTGGACGATTATCCACTTAAGTCCCTAAACTTCAAAATGGGACACTTAAGTCCCTAAACTTATAAATACCTCCCACTTAAGGAAAATTGTTAACAAATCCTGAATGCTGTTGGTGGTCGAAGTGTTCCATTTTATAAGGATTTAGGGATTTAAGTGTCTCATTTTATAAGTTCAGAGACTTAAGTGGGAGGTATTTATAAGTTTAGGGACTTAAGTGTCCCATTTTAAAGTTTAGGGACTTAAGTGGATAATCGTCCAAAGTTTGGGGGGACAAAGTGAAATTAACCAAATTTTTAATTATGAAATTAACAAGTAAAAATTAAAGGCCCAAATCGAGATCACTTCAACCCATTAAGACCATTTTCATTCCTGATGATTGCCAAGAAACTTTTTCAAAATTTAACAGTCATTCGGTGGGCCCAGTTACAAGCCCGATTACTTTGTCGCAGATACGACGGATCATGGAAGCTGCATGAGAAGACAAATAGAAAATGGGCCCCAAAAAGGCTAAAACTTTAGCCAAGTTCAAGAAGCCGCAGTAGATCACGTAGGGTCCCCAAAACCCAGCCTAAAGCTGGACTTTTGCTTTCCCCGCGCCGATCGTCGCCGAACCCAATGAAGGGTAACACCGTTAAATTGCTGAAATCTCAGAAGTGAGAGCTCCCTGTGATTAATATTATTTGTATAATATTAAGGTAAAATGTTCCAATGACCCTCAAACTATTATAAAATTTAACTTTTAACCCTCTAACTATTAACTGATAAATGTTATCCCTTCAATTAATTGAAACAAATAATTTTAGCCCTTCTGCTAGCTTAAGCTGTTATGTTTAACAAAAATAACATGACATGCACAGCAATGGCCCTCAAACAATATTGTAAAGTTAAACTTTTGACATTTCAATTATTAACTGATAAATTTTACCCTTCAAACTAACTAAAATATATAATTCTAACACTTCCTCAATTTAAATCGTTATGTCGAACAAAAACATCACCACATGCGCAGTAAAGGTAAAACCTAGGGGTGTTTTTGTCTTTATAGGACATGTGTCCGGGTAAAATTGTTTTACTCCTATTTGACTTATAAACTAATTTATCATCCAATTGCTGAACTTGACCAAAATTAATTGAAAACCTAAAATGCAAAATCCCTAATAGAGATATTTCAGCAAGGATAGGTAACTTAAATTAATCGAGTTATTTTCATTTGGAATTTAACTCATTTTTCGGCGTTGTTCCAAATTCATTGGATTTATGTGCCTCTCTTAATGACATAAATCTGGCATACAATTCATTTTTTGGGAATATTCCAACAAGTCTTGGTTCTTCCAAGTTTGAACTCTCTAATTCTCTCAAATAATCAATCCTCTAATGAGATTCCTCCAAATTTTACATCACTATATCTAAAGCTTTTTTATTTGTCAAACACTTGGTTGCGCACATTCAAAATTCTTTATCAATAGATATTTCTACTCGATATAACGACTCAAGTTGACGGAAAAGATAGAATTCTACGTTTTAATTAGTTAGAGGGTTAGAAATTATCAGCTAATAATTGGAGGATCAAAAGTTGGATTTATAATAGTTTGAGAATCACTAGCATCTCATGAATCCTTTATTTCTGTTAGATATAACAGACTCAAGCTGACAGAAGAACTAGAATTATATGTTTTAATTAGTTGACAGGCTAAAACTTATCAGTTAATAGTTCGAGAGCCAAAAATTGAATTTCATAATAGTTTGAGCGTCATTGGGGCATTTTGCCCTATTTAATATAAATTCATTCAAGTTTGATTTTTTTTATTAGACGGATTTTTTTTTTTTGTTTTTTAAGTTTGATGTAATTGTAACTTTTACACCACTAAGTTATATTAGTTAACAAGCTTTACAATTAAATCAAAGTTTTGCCGACTGAAGTGGACAAAAATCATTTTGAGAGGCCTCGATCTTGAAATAACATAACCCGATATCCTAAAACACCGTATGTTTTTTTTACGGTTACTTTCTATACATACATAGATTTGGTGAAAATTAGAGTCAAATGTCCCCAAAAAAAAATGCTAGAAGTAGCATCTAAATTGTGCTGCTGCATAAGCATAAACTTTAAGGATCTAATGACGCATATTATAAGCAGCTTCTCTAAACTTTTTGACTAAAATCTGACCTCCAAAAATACTTGGGCCCCAACATACACCCAAGTTTCTTTTGAATTTTCCAGCTATATCATATCATTATTCATACTTTGATTTGATGAAGCCCAGGTCGAAAGTAACACATAGGATATAGTAACTTATTACCCACATTCACCGTAAATTATCACGATATACTAAATGATGAAAGTGTCTGTACCAATTAGTGTCACTAGTAAATTTTAATAATTAAGGCTCTGACACAGAATTTCGCTGATGGTTTTGTGCCAGAATTCTTGTATTATTTAACTTTGGTTACATTCCATAGTAAGCAAAATCGAAACTAAAGTTTCAAAAGTGTCCACAATTTAATTGGCACTGTAACTTGTAAGAGTAGTGAAAATAATTTGTGGCACAGACTTCGATTTTCACCCATATATGTTCCTTTAATCAGTTCATAATTACAAACCCCAACCCCGCCCCCATCCCCCATCGGCGCCCTCTCTTCTCCTCTTTTTTTTCCGACCCGACTTGTTACTAACACGAGAAAAGTGAACATAATGAAGCATTCCTCCTTCTACTTGTAGAAAGCTAGTCCTTTCATTTCTCAAAAAAGAATGGCAGACAAGAAGACACATCGGTGAAAATACCAATTCTGAAGGCAATTTAGGGTTCCAACAGCAAGGTCGCATTGCATTTTAGACATATAAAACTAGGAATAAAAAGCATAACTAAAGATTGATAAACAAAGATAGCATATCCTTGATTAGATCTCAAAAGCATATATAACCAGCAGAATCCACCAAGAATAAAGCACAAAAAAATCAGCATTGTCAGTCAATAATCTCTATAGAAGAGATTAAAGCTAAAAAATTAACCACCAAAGTACAAGAGTAGAGAAACAAAGATTAGAGAGAGAGAGCTTACCATCTTCAATCAGTGCAACAGCAGCTGAGGATGCTAAAAGAACCACAAAAACAAAGACCCTTTTGCAACTTCTTGAGCTCCAAATCATCTTCTCTTCTTTACTTCTCTCTCTCTCTTGGCACACAAAAACAGTGTCCCTAGCTATTTAACTGTATGAAAGCTGTCGCCTCTCCGTTCTCTGGAGCAGGGGAGATGAAGTTTTAGAAGAGGGACTAGAGAGTGTGAAGAAGTTGCAGACAAAAGAGTCCTTATATCCAAGATTCCAGGCTTTCCAGCCAGCCTTTTTTTTTTTCCTATTTCACACCCGGCTCTGACAACTTGACTAGTTTACTAGTACAGCAGGAGTATATACTATACTGTCTTATTAATTAATCATTCATCAAAGCTTTGTTTACTTGCCAAGGGCAAGTATTACCTTTGCGCTAAAACGAATAGCATATATTTATTTGTTTGGATTGCATTTTTTTTGAATTTTTTTTAAAAAATTACTATAGTGATTTGATATATATGAAATAAAAATGTGATTGAAAAATGTGTTTATCGAAAATATAGCAATTTTTTTAAAAAAAATTGTTACTTTAGTCTAGTAATTAATTTTACATTTCATAAAGGTTGCAGGATTAAATATATAATAGTTGTAGCGAATTTGAGCTTCATTTTTTCATTAATCGATCTCCCCCCTTCATCCGAAAACAAAAAATCCCCCATCTATTTGTCCTTAATTATGTGTCTTCACATCTTAAATTTATTTACACCATTCCTCTACCTATTTACACTCAGAGATAGATAAATTGATTTGAATTGAGACTTGTGATGCGCCTAATCCCTAACTCCTTTGCCTTTGACACAGCTAGAGGTGGCAAATCAACCCACTTAACTAAATTTATCCATACCCACCCATGAATAGATGGGTATAGGTATCTTAAATTTTTTTATATGGTATAAATGGGTTACCTAATAATACCCATTTAATATTAAATGGATATTATTGAGTAACCCATCAAACCCATTTAAAATTCTCTTCCCCCCCCCAGTCTCTTCTTTTCCCCCACTCATTTTTTTTTCAAATTTTTTATTTTGTCATGATGTTAACTACTTTTATTTCATTATTATTATTATTTATTGGTTTTATCTTATTATTTTATTTTCTATTAGTTTGTTAACTTACTCATTTTCAGTATTACCAATTTATGATAAATTTTAGCCTATTTTCTTATCTTTCTAAAATGAAATTTTAAATTTATTTATGAAAAAAATGTTAGGGGTTCAAAATTTTTGAATTAAGTTTTATAGTACTTAGTTCAAATTTTTATATTCTTATTATTCAATTATTAAATAATAGGTAATTTTGTGACATAGAGTATAAATGAAAAAAAATTGGTAATTAGGCTTATTGAACATTATAAGTAAATAATTAAAACTAATGATTAGAGCTGGCAAAAAAGCCCAAAACCCAACAACCCGTCCAACCCGCCCATTAATTTTAAGGGATGGGTTGGGTCAATTGGGTTATGGGTTTTATTGGGTTGGGTAAGAACAACCCAACTTATTCATTGGGCGGGTTGGGTTTTTTATTTGGGTACCCAATACCCAACTTGTTTAAAAGTAATTCAAAATAATAAATACAATATTTAATACACATATGCCCAACTATTTACATTTGGACATGTGTTAATAATTCATTAATTAATTTGTATTCAAAATTCTCATATATATATATATATATATAGTCAATCATGTTTTTAAATTTTTATTTAAAATAAAAAAGAAATTTGAAATAAAAAGAATTTTATAGTTATACTATGGGTTGTTGAAGCTTCTCTTGTTTATGAAAAATGAAAACACATAGGCTCCATATGGATTAGGCATTTTTGAAAGTGTTTTTGAAATAAAAAAAAAACTACAAGAAGTCCTACAACAAAATAAGGCTCCATATGGATTAGGCATTTTTGAAAGTGTTTTTGAAATAAAAAAAAAAACTACAAGAAGTCCTACAACAAAATAACATGTTGAAATTAGAAATGAGAGGCAACTTCTAGGATTGACTTTTTGTGTGGCTGGATGGGCATAATGAAAGCACATACACATTTTATTTCCAATTTAGATATTAAAGAAAAATAAGACCTTGTTTGGATTGCTATTTTTAGGAGTTTTTGTAAAAAATATATATATATATACTGTAACAATTTGGTGTATGTGAGGTAAAAAGGTAATTGAAAAATGTGTTCACGGAAAATATAAAAATTTTCCATCAAAAAATCACAGTCTACAAGTTCTTTGAATTGTGGTTGTAATGTAAATTCAGAATGAAGAAATCAAAATTAGAAACATGTAATTAAGATCAAACAACTTCACCCTATGCCTAGTAGAGAAAATAATAGTTGGTTATGGGACCAAATTTTCAGCACGTAATCAACTTTATTTAGTTGATCCACCTATATATTTTTCTTAAACTGCTTTTAGTAAATAGCCTACACTTCCCTTGCCACCTATATTCTTGTAACACTTTATTTACTAAATCACATGTTTATGTGGAATTGGAAGTTTGGATCCTACTATGAATACGAAAATGTTTCGTTTTCTTTTAAAATATAGCCATGAATTAAAATCTTCATTGTTTCGTTGACGCTGCTTGGAATTGATGGTGGTGGCTAATTCAAATGCAAGTGCTAATCTACCAAGTGATTCTTTGCTTAACAGAATTCTGATATAACATGTTTGAAGAATGAAAAGAATTAGAGAAGTTAAGTTTTGAAAACTTTGTTGATTATAGAAGAAAGAGGGGGGAGGGGGGGGGAACTAATTCCATCGAACTTCAATTAGTAGTATTAAAAAAGTACAACGTAAACAATTTTTTTAACTAATCTATTTAAATGTATAATTTATCATCTAAAATTCACAATACAATCAATATAAAATATTATTCTATTTATGATGTGTTTCCAAGGAACTTAAGAAGTGAGTGTGTGTTTGTATGTGTGAAAATACATTTATGTGTGAAAAAAATCTTTTTGTGTGTTAAAATGTATGTGAAAAAGTTTATGTATCAAAATCTATTAATTAATATATTGGGTCATATTTGGGTCATGGGTTTGAGATGACCCAATGTGACCCAACCCAAAAGTAACCCAATTTAAAGTTGGGCGGGTTGGGTATAACCCATTTAAATAAAAACCCAATATCAACCCGCCCAAAACCGCCCAACCCGCCCAATTGCCAGGTCTACTAATGATGGATACAAAGAGCGGTATAAATTGATAAGTTAGTTTGCAAAAATGAATTTAAATGAGTTTACAAAAAGTTAAAATAAATGGGTTATACATGGGTAATTGAATTACCGAATTCATTTTTTGACTTACCCATTTATACGCATCTAATTAAATGGATATAAATAGGTTGACTCACTTATACTCATTACCCATTTTACCCAACTCAAACTCGCCCAAGTCATTCATTTTGACACCTCTAGATACAGCTAATAGGTTGAGCACGAACTCGTGTCAGGATGCGACATTGTTATTGCTAGTCACGCCCAATGGCTGGTATAAGGCCGCCTGGGACTCACTGTCCGTGTTCTCAAATGAGCATATAGGACAATAAGAAGAAATTTTACGTGGATCTAAACTAATTATATGGTAAATCTAATAGTTAGTTTTTGACCAGTAAAATAAAGTTAATTGGACAAATAAATACTTCACAAAGGACTTTATCATTTTATTGAGATTGTATTTAATATAGAATTAGTGGGTTCTAGAATCTTATTTGAAGCATTTTCTTTAGTCAACTATACTTCCCAAGTAGTTGGTCTGAATCAAGATATAATTTCTCGAATACTATATCAATTTGGTATTGATAATTTGCTCTCACCATTTCAGCCCCATAGCAAACAGAAAAAAAATAAGAAAGAAAGAAATTACTGGAGGCCAGAACAAAATTATAATGTGGATTAACCTATACTTCATGGTTCCAAAAAATTCTACTCGAAAGTGGTTCATATATCCAATAGACCATCTCAACATGTGTAGCTTGTTTATGGGTTTGGCTAACCATTCTTTGCACATTGTCTAATTGAGGCTCAACTATTAATCTTTAAAAAAATTTAGACAAAATATGCACACATATGCAAAGAAATTTAATACATATTAGTGTGTGTGAAAAGTCTGTTTAGAAAAGAAAAAGAATGAAAAGTCAGTTTAGAAAAATTTCATATTAAGCACTCGCTTTTTAATACGCAAAGTTTTTTCTGTAAGAAAAGTTTATTCCTTTTAGTTGTATAATCAAACAAAGAAGGCTACATAGAAAGCACTCGCCTTTTTATGCACCGATTCCTTTTACTGTTTCATACCACCGGATATAACTGGCTTCCATATTCCGTGTTTTCAGACGTCCTGGACTGCTCTTTATGGTCTCTGTGCGGGACCCTTTGGGTCCTCCGCGTTCTTTTTTTTTTTTTCCCCATTGATTGCTTATATGTGACTTTATTAAATCGTTTTCCGACGATGAAGATTTGACTAGTTCAACTTTTTGGACTTTCTGATCGGTGATTCCTTTTCACTCCCATCGATGCTGAGGAATAAGTTTTTTGGGAAGGGCAAGTTACCCTAATGTTTGGCATACTTTTTAATTTAGTCCCAAAATTATGGCTAATTACTCATATTATTGGTGAAAAAAATAACTCGGAAGAATGTTGCTCTGACAAGGGGGCATATGAAACTATTGCTGTATATATTAAAATTGCTGCCGGCAGCAATTTTAATATATATATATATTTTTTAAAAAAACTGGTTGCCATACTGCAGCAATTTTAATATATATATATTTTTTTAAAAAAAATTTGTTGCCATACTGCCAGTGTGTTTGTCTGACTACTGCCAGGCTATGTCAGCCCGGCAGGACCTGCAAAAAAAAAAAAAAAAAAAAAAAAGGCAGCTAGATTCCAGCTTTGATTGGAATTCAATTCCACTACCGGACTGTGTTAGTCCAGTAGTGATGGTTAAATTAAAAAAAAAAGTGGCTTTAGAACGGCTAACTAGATTTTCATTAAAGCTTTGTCCTCGCCTATATAAATGAGCATTTTTAATGGAGCATATAAAGTCATTTAAGAGTATTTTTGGTTAACAAAAAGTGTAAAAGTGTAGTTTAGGATTTTTCAAGATTTTGTCTTGGAAGGTAAGTAATATTTTTAAAATTTTAGGAGTAGTAAATGATATTAAAAGAAAGCTGAAGGTAGGTTTCTGATATTATACCTTTTTCTTTAATTTTTTAGAG